CGTCTACAGAGGACTATAGAGCACATTGCCCCCGGTTGTATTTTGCCATAGCTCGTAACGCACCAGCATATTTAACGGACCATGAGTAAAATCTCCAAAACAATGCATTTTTTAAATCTGGACCCCGTTACTCACGGCGACTTGCGATTTATAGGCGACTGCACAGATGCAAACGCGCGACTGCATCGACACAAACGCGCGATTGCATTGATACAAACGCGCGACTGCATCCATACAAACGCGTATAAATCCCAAGTGTAGCGATGCAATCGCGCGTTTGTATCGATGCAGTCACCGCATGCATCGCATTTGCATCGTGTGGAAAGGTGTCGCATACTACAATAAAAAAAAATCTCACTTTTTCTTTGTTCCACCAAATGTGCTGGTGAGTGTATTACCAAACACACACATTAAGCTTGACTAAAAACGGCAATAAATTAATATTTTAAATTTCTAGCATAATATATACGAACGACATAACACATAAGCAACAAACCAATTTGCATCACGGGACAGTTTGTTAAGTAACTATTGTGAATATTTAACTCTGAAAAATAATAATAGTCTCGGTCTAGGTATACGGCACGCATTGTGCGCCGGTTCTTGAACCTGAGTCCCTGACTCCGGCCAACTGTGCCATTATCATGGAATTTTATTAGACAATAAGTTGAAATATAAAGCTTAAATACTAGAAACTAAAACTAGAATTAAATTCTATTAATAAAATTGGGTCCCCACGGCAAGATGCCCAAGGTGCTGGCAGCGTTCCCCCTTTGTAAGGCTATGCTAATGCGTTGGGCAAGGTAGCTGCCGGCCCTTGAGTTTCCATATGGTCTATTAATGTTTTGGATACAATTTTGTACAGATGAAGGGCAACGGAACCACACGGGCCAAGGGTTTCGACTCCAAAGGCTGTAAATACGTAGTCGGAGCCGAGATCCTGGCACTTATTACTTTTTATTCTTTTCCCCAGCTCAGCTGTGGAGCCAACCCACTTGCTAGAGTGTGTCGTAATGTGCGTATATAGTATATATATTAGGTTTGTTTGTATAAATATATGATTATATATTTATTAAATTATTAATTTAATATTTTGTTCAATTTGCCACATTCGTGAATTTCGTTTTCCTCTAAGGTTGACACGTAGATAATGCTTTTAGCATTAAGTCCACCTTTTGGTCCATTTATGTGTTGTTGACAACAAAGTTTAATAAATAAATAAAGAAAAATTTGTTTCCAAAATTGGTTCCACCGGGAATCGAATCCGGGACCTCAGTACAAATCGTTAAGCCAATGGTTGATTGAAAGGTGATTATAACGAACATCTGTAACATTTGAGACACTCTTACATCTACAACCTGTTTTTGGTTTTATGCTGTTTTATTTTCTTCTGTTTTTTTATGTTGTAGTTGTTATTTATTGAGGCATCATGTATGGTAATTTAATAAATGCTTGAAGGGTAAGGGTGCAGGTAAAACTACAGACAGATCAGACTTCAAGAGGCGGTATCGGTTAATTTAGCTTGCGTCACAGCGCGGCTTTACTTCACAATTTATTGTTTTACAAAATAAATTAAACCCGTTTGAAAAATATATATTAGATACTATACGTGTTCTCTTTAGTTCAGTTGATATAGAAAAAATCATTGGTATAAAGTACTTGTTGAATACAGCGGTTTTCTTCTAAAATTTCGAGGATTTCTTTTTTCTATCGTGACCAGTGTATATTCTCAAATTTACTACACTATATTTTTTTTCAAAGTGATTGATACAACAGTTTCACTTTCACTTGTACACAGCCTCGGCGCCGGATAAGAAAAAAGTCTTGTCTACCTCTGACGCGACGCGCTCTGCCGGGGGCATAGGGCGCATTGTCAGTAAACAAACGTTCATGCGCGTGTACTGATTTTGCAAAGTACCACTGTTGCACCACTAAATTGATTGCAACTAATAAAATGCATGATTTATTTATAAGTTTAGTAGAGGAACGACCCGTATTGTGGGACAATACCTTAGAGATTTATAAAGATAAACGACGTACTTTTGAGGCATGGACAAAAATATGTATTATTCTATACATATAATTTGCAATCACCATTTTTTTCATTAGTAGTCAACATATTTCTTCACACAGTCGGTAGTAAAACGACATCTACCTGGAAGTGCACTGACGCGTTTACCCTACATACGTCTGCCCGAAAGCATTCGTGTACATACTCATAATTTTCTTCTCTGCAACAGACACGAAATATTTTCGTGGCTAGATCCGACAAAATTCTTGTCGTGTACAAGGCCATTCTCGTCTTTTCTGTTGCAGACACGACGAATTTCTTAGCGTGTACACTCGCCGTTAAGGTGACAGGCGCAGTGACAGTACCCTTCAGGTCTTTGCAATTTATTTATTTAGGACAATTTACAAAACATACACAAACAATTGGCCAAAACAGTAGATATTGTGGTTCGAGTTTTTGTGTTGTTTCATTTACAAGTTCCCACTATAGTATTCAAAAAAACTTAAAGTAATTGACTTCTTACAAATTAACTGTTTAAGAATTGACTTACAATTATATATATGGACGTCGGGTCCGCGCTAAAAAGTGTCCGATTTTATAGGACGTTAAAATCGTATACAGAGCGTCATTCACGCTCTAGTCTTCGTTTGTTCGACTGACAGCGAAGCAAGCAAAATTAGACAGTGCTGCGATGACATTACAATTTAAATTCAACGTTTAGCTTTGTCATATTCCTTTACATGTCACTACGTTTAAATAGGTTGACTTGGGACATTTTTTTCGTGGTTTTTGTATTAGACCCGTCGTCCATTTATTTGTAAGTCAATGTGTTTAAGATTAATGTTACATCTATTTATTGGTTACTCTATGTGTCAACAGTTAGGTACAATTTTGTTATTACAACTTTAATTATATCGAGTTCTTAGGTTTCGCGATTGTTACACATAGGAAATGAAACTATTTTTCCGGATTTAAATCGCGTATATTTGTTTTTTCAAACAAACCGACGTTTCGGGTCCCTTTACAGGTCTCAGTCAACCGTGAACATGGTCATCAACATCTTTAATTATTATTACAAAAGTACATGGATGTATTTAAAGGAAGTACGTATTTTACATATAGTAAATTATGTATAAATAAATGTATGTTCATGTAAGTGGTGACTCGGGTAGCAAAGTAGCCTTTTTAATTCGGCTTTGTCGGGCTTAAAGCTCTGAGTGGCACTGCAACAGTAATAGGAAGGCGTATCGCTAATGAACAAGCGTACATACGGCCGGCAACACATTTATCCTAAGTTCAAGGATGTAAGAAACAGCAATGGGTCATGCACATTGCATCATATCACTATAGTGTAATTTTATGTAAGATAAAATCATTACAATTATATGGACGTCGGGTCCGCGCTAAAAAGTGTCCGCACTTGTAAGGCGCTAAAATCGTACACAGAGCGCGACACTCCGCTTTAGTCTTCATTTGTTCTACTGACAGCGCGATACTGCGATGACATTACAATTTAAATTTCGAATAGGTTGACTTGGGACATTTTTGTCGTGGTTTTTGTATTAGACCCGTCGTCCATTTATTTGTAAGTCAATGTTCAATATCGTCAATTTAATTTATCTTTAACCGACTTTAATAATGGAAGAAGTTCTCAATCCGACTGCATTTTTTTACGTATTTTACGCGATTGCTCTGGCATTTGTGAACCCATTTTGATGATTATTTTTTGTTAGAAACACCGTCATCTCATCTTTTTATCGCCTTTTTTCCGGTTCCTGGCCACTCGTTTTTAAATTTTGAACCGATCTTTAATTCCTTTGCCTCGCCATTCTGATTTTGTTTCGTACCTGCCTTCTGCCTTCTCATTCTACCAACACGTCTTCTCGTTAATTTTTTTAACTGTTTACCTCATCTCACAAATATTAATAAAACGGGAATAATATTTATTAAACTGGATTTATTACTACTTTTTCTTTACCCTTTTGAATTTTGTACTTTAACCTCGCTAAGCAAGATGTGTGGAGGCTGCGGAGGATACTACACTCTCTTGGCTACATTACAATCCTACAGAACATTCCAAGCGGTACCAGAAGCGGTACACGCTTTTCAGAGGGTACCTCAGTATTGATTCCAGAAAATATTCCACATCTAAGGGTGGCAAATTAGGGGATGATTCCGATGTCGCTTACATTCCGGTGTGACACTTGTTTATCACCCTTTTCTCTGGTTCCTCACCATCTAATTTGAAATTTTGAATCGTTCTTTAATTTTTTTTTTTCGTCGCTCTTGCTTTTCTTCTTTCTGTCGCCATTATCTTCTAAATTTCCGAACCGACAAGACGTGCTATCTCTCATCATGTATCACTCCATGCTAAATTACAAATATAAATCCTTTTGTAAGTTCTATAACGATGCAACGTGTTCGTGCATGATTTGAGCACGTATACACACACATTTTTGTGTTCATAATGTCGAAGTTACCGTAAACAGTTTCTTATACGTCAAGAAATGATAAACCTCTACAAGGACATCATCAGGGCTCTCAAAGCTACAGTACAACCTACAATCTGCAGGACATGCTTGGGCTGTGCCAGCAAACAGCGTGACACTGGCGCCCGAACTAAATATTTAAGAAGGAAGCCTCGTGACACCGGTAGTCGATTTCAATAAAACTTCGCAAATAGATGTAACTCCACGAGCTTTTAAGGTCGTGGAATTACTTATTTATTTTAAATGTGTTCAATAACCTTTTAATGTGTGTATGACGTGTGTGACGAAGTGTGGCGTCTCAACCCACAGTACAATCAACCGTGTTTCTTCTAGGGTATTAGGTCATTGTCCACTACCACGGTTCAAATCGGGTTAAGGACTCCGCATGCATTCACGCTTTTCAAAGAAATTACTAAAAAATTGCGATAAGTGGTCAAAAACCTGCGCGTGAGCATCCTATATCAACAAGTGTCATGTCACTCTACGTTCATTCGCGCGCCGACCGTCACCGCAGCCGCACGTATGCGACTCGACTTACTTTCCTATTTCAATTGCCTCCGCAGACGGAATCTACCTCACGAAGGTAGTGATTGCAAAAATGGACTATAAAGTGTTAGTGTTAATGTTGAATCTAGTCAATATCGTTAATTTAAGTTTAGGAGAAATGTTATGTGCGAACTGCGCGAACGGAGATTTAACTGTAGACGAGTTAACTGAAGCACGGATAGAGATCGTGAAGCAACAAATATTGAAGAAGTTAAGGCTTGAAAAGAAACCAGAATTGGCGATCCCTGTGAACAGCCTTCCTATGCCGGTTGCCCAAGGTCAGACCTTTAGTTCCGGGACTGAAAAATCTAATGATTTCGATGAATATTACGGCAGAACAGAACAGAAGATAATCTTTCCCGTTGAAGGTGAGTTATTTCTTTCTTTATTGCGGTCATAACTTCGATTGGGTTACTTATCAGAAGTTTGAAATGACATTTTCCAGAAATAACGTTTGCTTGAATTTTCATAACTTCGAAAGTAATTTTGAGAGGAAAATGTTTTTTCTTTTAAACCTAACTTAATCTAACGGCTACGTTTCATCTGTGCTTAGTTACGGTATCGTATTATGGGGCAACTCAGTAGCTCTAGAAAAAGCCTTCAAGGTGCAGAAGAAGTGTATTCGGGCGATCTGCGGAGCGTGGTCAAATGATAGTTGTAAACCTTTGTTCCAAAACTTAAACATACTGCCTTTGCCATGCATGTACATTAAGGATATATGTATATTCGTAAAGAATCACCCTCAACATTATAAAACGCACGGTCAAATCACTCAAAGACAAACAAGACGTAAAATTATGCACCAATTATTTAAACCTCGCTGCCATAAAGGAATATATGAGAATAACTCGTTCAACATGTCTATACAAATATTTAATCATTTACCATGGGATATTAAGTTACTACAAGGACCTAAATTTAAATCACAATTGACAAAATGGCTTTTGACACATTGCTTTTATAGTAATAAGCAATATTTAGATTGTGCTACAAGTAATGGTCATTAATATAAATTGACATATTTTTAATAAGTTTTTAAAGTATGTAGTAATAATAGAGACCTGTTTAAATTTTATAATATTTGCACACCTGCTTGCAGGTTGAGTACACTGTACCTATTCAAAATCAAGATCTGTAATATACTGTATTCTGGCAAATAAATATATTCTATTCTATTCTATTCTAACCTAACCGAACCTAATCGTGTCTTTACGATAAACACCCAACATATCCTGAAAGAATTATAATTAAAATTCGGTTTTCGGTGTAATGAAAATTCAAACAAACGTTATTTCGGAGAAAATAAATTCGAGCTTATGATAGGTTACCCTTCGATTGAAATCCGGGATCAAGTGTCCTATTAATGATAAGGATTATTTGCAAATTTTTAATGAAAATTAACCAGACATGGATCATTTTTGGGTTTATTTTTATCTACTTAATTTCGGTGGCAATTTTAATTATTTAAGTATCATATTATCGTAAAATATTAAATAGTATTTGAGGATTACTACATTCGAATATTAAATAATACTTCACGATAATATTTTAGAGTATTCAAATAAAAAACTAAATAAATCTTAGGCATTATGCGAGGTCGACGATTGAGACGAGCTTATTCTATCTGAAGCCTCATGGTTTGACCTACTGTTTTTCAAGCCGAAGTCGTCAATTGCTATAGACTCCTCGGAACCTCTGAGTAACTCGGAAATTAAAGTACGAAATTTAATTTGAAATTTACCCCACCCGCACTGGTCAGCGTGGCGGACCATGGCCTAAACGCTCAACTGAGAAGAGACCCGTGGCTTGCATATGTGTTGACGATGATGAAAGTCTATATAGGAATTTCTTCTAGGTAACCTTTAAAAAACTGAAAGGATAGTTGGGTAATTTTCATGTTAGTATTTTCTAATTTCAGTGGCAATTTTCATAATTTGAATATTAGAATATTCAAACTGTAAAAATTGCCACTGAAATTAGAGAATACTTTAGAGATTATTATCATGAAGCACTATTTAATACGAGTTTAGTATCATGAAATATTATACATTAATTCTTAAATACTAAAAACTGCCATCGAAATTAGGTATGGAAAACTAACCGCAAAATTATCCAGTTGAGTTCTTTAATAGTAGCAAATGGTTGCGTCTCAAAGAGGTATTACTATTTATTGATATAAAAAGCCTTATCGTCTATATCTTGTATTACGACATACCTGGACATGATGATATAGGTGATTTACAGAACTTCTAGAAGATATCTAATGTGTCCAACCCGCTCTTGGCCACAGTGGTCGGCTATGACCTCAAACTACCTCTGTAGAGATCTGTCAACTATTTCAATAATGATGATAATTACTTACTGCGAATTATATCTTGTTATTCCTCGAGTTTTAATAAATTAAAATTCTTACACCAACAACGCCTTTTGTAAATTGGTAAATTCTTTATGAGAAATCTACCGTGTCAAAACCAAAACACTGTAATATCAAAAACAGCATTTTGAGAAAAAGCTGCGTAAATAATTTTTAGATTTTTTGTAACTTTTGCGGTTAATAACATAAAAACGTACATTTAACCTACGTTGTACATTAGATATTAAAGAAATCTATCTTGGAAAGTAAGTTATTTCTATTAAAAAAACTAATAAATTTATCTTCCTCCATTAACAGGCGAAAGATCCTTGTTGTTATGAAATTACAAAGCACTGTATTGAACGTTGCAGTGTTTTGGTTTGACAAGATAGTTATAGTGATAAGATTAACATAGTTCTTGACAGCATCGTCACAAGTCACAAATTCTTTCAAAATTCGCCATATACGAGGTTTAGAACTATAGTGAAACAATAATTTTACGCTAAATATATTCTCTTTATGTATTTGGATTACAAAAATCCATGGTAGCTACCATAGATATAAGGTAGTGTAAACTGGGACGTAGCTTAGGATGCATAGCGAGAGGTACTTTTATAAATATAAACTGGGATAATCTTCAAAACTTGGTTTATTGTATTTTTTCACATATTTTCTAACTCAGGTTACATCTCGAACTATCAAGATGTTCCATTTTTTCTATTTCATCTTTTCAAACACATTTTAAATACAAAACTATATTCACTCAGCCAGTGATTCTACTCCTAGAGAAGAAACTAGACTACAGTAGCGACCCATTTAGATAATACAGGTTCTAGTTGATGGTGGTATCTCGATTTACATATTTTTTAGAAGCAGTAGAGGTCCTTGTGAAAGAGACCGTCCAGGGAAGTACTGCCACCTTAACTATTTCTGCCGCCAAGCAGTAATGTAACCATTACTGCGTTCCGGTTTTGAAGGGTAAGGGTGCTGGTGAAATTACAGACACATGGCACTTGTCTACTTATGCCTCAGGGTGACGGTCGTTGTGGCAGTGCCGACAAGATCTTTACGATTTAAAGCTCTGAATGACACTGCAACTGTTATGGAAGAGCGTGTCGCTTACCACCAGGGCGCTTGTTATTATAAAAAACACCAAGTGACGGGTCGTACAAATCGCGCACGTGGTGGAAAATGGCACGCCTGTCCTTAACAGTTGCAGTCAGTCAGAGCTAAATCATAAGTGTATACAAAGAGCAACCCTAGAGTTTCTTATTAATTACTAAGTAATTTAAGTGAAAGAGAACACTTAAGTAATGACGCACCCAAAGTTATTTTTGGTATTCTATAAGTGCATTAAAAACACAATAGAAAACATTTCTTGAGGATCCCGAAAATTAAATGAAGAATTGGCTCAAACTATTTGTGTCCAAGCCAAAAATCTGAGTTACGAATGAGTAGTAGAATAATTTCTCAGATCAATGTGGCGTTTTCGTGTGTAATCGACTTTTCATTATGTGAGCTTGAGAATTTAGGGCAGATCGGCAACCTATTAAAAGTTTCTTGAAAGTATATAACATAACACTTTTTCTCTACACAAAATCCATGGCCCTCAGTGATGTATAAGGCTTGGTGCAATCATGAGCTCTTAATAGCAATTACAAGTAATAAGACCTCTTTAAAGCCAGTAAGGTGACATTGTAGAACGATTAAACCCATTACGTAGTTCGTAGAAGTTGCTACGCGCTACAATTTTAGCTCTACAATCTTTTCCCAGTATACCTAGCAATGAGTTTTTTAACTGGAGTCACGGTTTAGTTAATAATAGATAACTAATTAGGACTCTGTGGCGGGACGAGCAAGTCGTGCGTCTGTTGTTAAGCAACACGTCTACACGTAATAGTTGCAGTGCAAGACAAAGATATCATTGCAAATTTTTGGCGCCATTAAAAAAATATTTTATGTAAAAAATAGTAAAAGAAATAGTCGCCCAAACTAAAAAAAAATTTTACTTGTTTACTAGATCGGAATATTTACCAAAACTTTTACGAAGTTGAGATAATAAATTGAGTTTTGATGAGACCTTTGAAATGTCTGAACTATGTTCTTATATATATTTTTATAATATTATAATCATTCCGAGATTCTTGAGGTTTTTTATAATACCAAATGACGGTACGAATAAGTCGTGCGCCTGGCATTAAGCGACACGCCTGATCATAGCAGTTTCAGTGGTACTTTTAAATCGGAAAGATCTAACGGTCACTAAATGCGCCTGTCATCCTGAGACACGTTGACAAGTCTCATGTGACTGTAATTTTATTAGCACCCTTACCCTTCAAAACCGGAACGCAGTAATGCACGTGTTCGCAATCAATAATTTTATTTCTTGGCGACAGAAATAGGTAAGGTGACAGTACTTCCCTAGATGAACTCTTTTCCAAGTAAACAAATAGAGTTGACAACACTTTTAGTAGATATAGGTGTAGTATGGTTTGGGTAACTATACTGTTTAATCCGTTCTCTTTTTGTTACATAGCTGCATTCAAATTTTATACATTTTGAATACAGCTGACCGTACCGGTGCGGTGTTTCTACTTTTCTTCTTTTTTTATGAATTAGATTTTTTTTATTCATTGTAAGCGTGCATTTGACCTCCATCTCACCTGATGGAAAGTGACGATGACGTCGACGATGGAGCATGCAAACCTAAATAATACCTATTCACTCTCAACTTGAAAAGGTCCATGTTATAACGTTCAGGGAACAAGTCTGCAGGCAGGGAATTCCACTCCATAGCCGTTCGCCATATAAATGTGGAAGCGTAACGCTTCGTGGGAATTTTTTTCAACATCCACAACTTGGGGGTAGAACTTCAGCTTACACCTAGTCGTGTAATTCCATTGCACACTCTCCGTGATATATCCTGTAAAATACCGATCAGCTAGCAACTTTGCGGCGGTGTTGAAGGCTCTGCAGCTTCGTCTCTACTAATTCTGAGTCACTTATAAGCCTCTT